ATAATTTAGTTTTGATAATTTAATTATCTCAATTTTGTATTATCTGAACATATTTATCATGATGTCTATATAATCAAGGGATGACTGTATTTTACAAACCTATGTAAATGTCCTTGTTTGTTATTTTTGAACAAACCTACTTATATCTATGTCTATATCTATTTCAGTCTTTTTATATCTTTTCTATTTTACTGTTTATGTAGCTCAGTCTATTTATATATACAGGGCGTTCAATAATTAGTGTTACAAACTTTTTTGTCCATCTTTATTAAACAAAACAATTTGTAAATATTTCACAAAGTGAAAACAAAAACTAAATGTACATAAATTTATTTGATATGCCATCTATTCAATATGTCCTTTTTTTTACTTTCAATAACTTGCCAAAGACCCTTGGTAAATGACTTGAATGTGGTATAGGTGGCACTTTGTAGGGTTTTGTTCTATTCCTTCCAGAATTTTGCCTTCAGAGACTGCAAAATATGGTGGTTTGTTTTATTTTGTTTTACGGCATATCAACCTCAGTGGGTTATTTAATGCCGATAAGATTTTTCTTACTGGTAATATTTTGTTTTGTCAAAAATTTATTTCTTGTAATATTTTTTTCAAAAATGTATTGCTAGTAATATTTATTTTTTAAAGACATTGTTGGTAATATTTTTTTCCAAAAACGTATTGCTGGTAATAGTTTTGTATTGCTGGAAATTTCTGGTATTACATAGTGTTTTTAACACAGTGTGGAGATTCACTATTTGCCCAGAGCTGGGACCCTAACAGGTGCTACCACCCCGGGTCAAGGTGGACCTGAGAACACCTGCAATTAAGAGGTGGTTCCATTCTCCTCAAAACCTCCTGATCAGTGGCCTAGCTGTTGGACATAGTTTATCATCTTACCCAGGATGTAGATGTAGTTTATCATCATACCCAGGATGGAAAATATGGTGGGGTGTAGCAGAAACCTTGTTTTCTAAGATACCTCAGATGCTGTGTAATCAAGAGAGCTCTGGTCTGGGAATGATGGAGTCCATTCTTCCTTCAAGATGAAGTGAGAAACATGGATTACTCGCTACTCTTGAGTTGCTTTGGCCTTATGGGAGGGTGCCAAATCTTGTTGGGATGACCAACGTCAGTTTTTTTAATGTTTTTTAGCCCAAGCCTACAGTGATGACTCAAGAATGTCCTTCACATCCTGGTTCCACAGAAACCAGAGCACATTTTCCTATCACAATCACAGCAGCCCCCACCATCATAGAAGTAACTCAAGTTACTGCCCAAGGCTCACTGTCTCCAGTTTGAGACTAAATCTGGTTGTTCTGGCTGTTAAAATGCTGTTAAACATCAAATTTCTTCTCATCCCTGAACACAAAGTTTGGGAGCATGCCTGCCTGAACACACTCTAAGAAGACTTGGCATTTGGTTTGTCATTTCTCCAAAAAGCTTACAGATAACAGTGGTTTCTTTTGGTATTTGTAAGGAGAATAGAGAATGTTTGACAAGGTTCCGATGGACACATTTACCTCTTTCACAAGATTTCTGAACGGCCTTTTCAGATTTCTTCTCTTTTTCTCCCAGGTGGATTTGACAGTCTCTGAGGTTTAAGCTTTTCGAGGACGGCCTTGTCCTTGCCTGTTCTTCACCTCCCCAGTTTCGTTGAATCTTTTGGTGGTCCTCCCAACTAGCATTCTGTTCACCATCAATGATTTGGCAATATCCTACGGAGAATTTTTTACTTTGTACATTTCTAAAATGGCAAGTCTTTAAATTTTTGCCCATTTTCAAATCTAATGATAAATATAGGTTTGTCCTATTAAACAAATCATATAACATCCAAAATAATGATAAATTTTCTCAATTAAATTAAAATTTATCTGAGTGTAACAATAAATATTGAATGCCGTGTGTGTGTATGTTTATATATATATATATATATATATATATATATATATAAATAAAAAAACAGTAAGATATATAATCCGGTGTTCTTATAGATATTTTTTATTTTTACAAAATAGTGCTCAATGTAAATTTACAGAGCATAATATTATAAATTAATTGATTTAAAATGTTTTTTTCCGCTACACAGTTCTAACCATGTTTCAAAAATAGAAGCTAAAAGCCCTGAATTTAATTTTGCAATTAAATTAAAAGCATTAGTTCCATTTCATCCTGCTTTTAATTTAATTGCAAAATTAAATTTGGGGCTTTTAGCTTCAATTTTTAAAACATGGTTAGAACTGTGCGGAAAGAACCATATTTTAAATCAATTAATTTATAATATATATATATATATATATATATATTCCTGTTTTTTCTTACATCAGTTTATTTAGACATTTCTGTCTTTCTGTCCCATTTTACTTATCTCTTTTCCTCTCTCTCTATGTTACCTACCCTTCTATTTCAAATAGTCAGGCCTGGGTGATTATCCTTTTGGGGGAGAAAAATCTGCCCACAATATCCTTATTCAAATACCCCTTTTATTTTTTATTAAATATATATATATATATATTCAGCCACAAGGTTATTTACTTTCTTTTGGTAGGGAATTAATTATTTACAATTTAAGTTGATGATCTTTGTTTACTCTTTTATCGTTAGTAAAACTGTTTTATACATCGACTGGCAATGAATAAGAGAGAATTAATATTGTTATTTTATTTTTATAATTTGCAACGTATGTCTTTTATCTAAATGTTCAGCCAACATAGTGGAAAAATGAATCTATCAGTAAATTAAGTAATAAAAACAGCTAATGGCAACATCACTTTACTTTTGGCCTTGTGCCACATCTAAGCTACGCTTGGAAAATCACTATCACTTTAAAGGGCTTACATAGATTTATTTTATATAGTGAACATTCATTTACTTTTGAAATCCTGATGAAAAGCAAAGAGGATTCAAATTGCAAAGAGAGAGATAGAGAGATAAATACAGACAGAAAGTTTTGTAGAGAGATAGATATGAGCAGACTGAGAGGGATGGATAGATAGATATGAACAAAACAAAATAGATAGAGATAGACATGAACAGAGAGAGATGCAAACAGACCAATATAGATAGAGAGAGAGAGGGAGATGTGAACAAAACATGATATAGATATGAACAGACCAAGAGGGATAGAGAGATAGATATGAACAAACTGAGAGAGAGACATGAACAGACCAAGATAGAGAGATATGAATGAACTGAGAAAAATAAGTATGAACTGAGATTGAAATAGATATGAATGTACTGGGATTGAGAGAGCAAGATGAACAAAATGAGACAGATGTAAACAGATTGAGATAGGTGTATATGAACCAGATTAGATAGGCAGGTGGATATGAACAGGCTGGGACAGGCAGGTAGATATGAACAGGCTGGGACAGGCAGGTGGATATGAACTAGCTGTGATAAGCAGGTAGATATGAACCGGCTGACATAGGCAAGTAGATATGAACAGGCTGAGATAGTCAGGTGGATATGAGCAAACGGATTGATATCAAGTAACTTAGCTAGAAAGATACTGGACTCTCTTGTCATTTTCGACATGACTGTACAGCAACCCAGTTCTCAGAACCAAACAGCCAGACTACCCGCACATATCGTTTCATTATAGTGATGAAGTACTGCACATATATATTATATAAATAATATATATATATAAATCACATATATATATATATATATATATATATATATATATATATATACACACACACACACATATATATATATACATATTTTTACATACAGACAAACTGTTTCACAGCTCATCAGAGGGGCTAGACATCTGATTGTCTCAAGCTGGGATTGAAACCCAATCAATTTGCTATCAATTGGAGACTCTACCCCTAAGCATATTGTCACACAGCAGGGATGAAAGTGAATTAAGACATATATTTATTTTTAGATAAACATGCCAGTAGCTGGAGGATACGTATAGCATATATATATATATATATATATATATATATATATATATATATATATATATATAAGGAAGCTTTCAATATGAAGTGTGAAGTTTCGTTTGACCTGAAATCAAGCGTAAAGCGTATCCAGACAGCTCTGGCAAAACACTGAAACAGATGTACACGCCTCACCAATTTGTAGAATATTAAATTGCTAAGGTTTTCACAGACGGTTGCCACTATTGAAAGAAACACATAAAATGTTTGTATAGCCTTTATTAAAAAGATTTTTAAATCAGTCGAGTAATTGCTGGAATAGAGTTGTTTGTTCACATGAAACAAAAACCAAACTTTTAGGATACAACCAGCAATGTTATGCTTGAAGAAAAAAAGAATACACAACACATGATATAAATGATAACATTCCACCAGTGAAGCTTGATAGTGAAAGATCATTTTATGGTGTTGCTTCAGATTAGCCATTATTGGGGAAACAAACCAGAATTGAATGAAAAATAGCTTTGCTTAAATATCAGTCCATTTTTTCAAAAAAATATTTTGGAAATATTTAACCTACAGGCCCACCAAAAAAAAAAAAACCCCAGTGTCACAAAAGGGCAGTTATTTTCTTGACACTGGTATTATTCTATACATTTTTTTATCTCCCTGATAATGTTTATTTACAAGATTAAAAAAGTATATGAACCAAGTACAATGCAATATTTATTATTTACTTTTTATAAGGAAGTAAATTTGAAAAAAAATGTTTTCCAGCCAAATTTAATCTGCAAAAATTTAAATGCAATGTCAATTGCTATCTACTGTTCTGCTGATTACTCTTTCCTCTTCCTGCTCATTATAAATGTTTCTGTTCATAATTCTTCCACAGCCTGTAACCCCTTGCATCTTAGTGGTTTCATTGCTTTGCATGGGGTGATGCCAATTAAAAAAATGTAAACAAATGCTCAAAATGTCTATAGTCAATTTGTTCCTTTCTTTTTCTATTTTTTGTCTTTTTAACAGGAGAACATGTTGCACCTCATTGAGATGAGTTATGTAACAGTCATGTAAGACAGGAATTTCTTAATGATAACAAATGGGTGGAGGATGTTTTGTAACATTTCAATCTATTCATCTCGCTTTCAATTTGTTCCTTTCTTTCTCTATTTTTTCATATCTATCTATCCATATCTATCTATATCTGCTTGTTCCTATCTATTTCAGTTTGTTTCTTTCTAATTATCTATTTCAGTTTGTTTCTAGCTATCTATCTATTTCAGTCTGTTTCTATCTATCTATTTTTTTCACTCTGTTTCTATCTATCTATTATAGTCTCTTCTATCTATCTTTCTCAGCCTATTCATATCCATCTATTTCACTCTGTTTCTATCTATCTATCTATCTATCTATCTCAGCCTATTGTTTACATTTCCCTTTTTTCTGTATGTTTTTGTTTTTGTCTTTTTAACAGGGGAACATGTTGGACATCATTGAGAAGAGTTCATGTAAGATGGGAGTTTCTTAAAGATAACAAGTTAACTCATCTTAAGAGACAAGAAAATGCGAAAAAAATGGATTGAGTTTCTGATTTTCATTTACAATTGAAAGATTTAATACTTTATGTCTCTTTGCTATTCTTACCAGATGAAGATGACAGCATGTTTCTATCATAAATTGTAAATAAAAATATAGATAAAAATTCTAAACAAAGATAATTTGTAGCAATGGAAGGAGCAACAAGTGGACACAGCAGTCTTCAAGGCAAATCATTCTCATCTCGTCACAATAGCCTATCATCTCATCGTCTGACCCAACGGAATCAGACACCAATCTACTGTGATATGTATGGACGAGAATACTCCCAGAGGCTAGATACTCCTCGGTTAACATACATGACGGAAAACCCTATTCATTGTGATGTATTTCCATCAAAACATGCATTAGAAACACCTCGTATGGCATACATTACAGAAAGTGTATTCCACCCAGATCTTTTTGCCAAAGACTTTCAAGCTAGGCACAGTCTGCCTCCTCAGAGAATTAATCATATCAGTGAAAAACAAATACACAATTCAATTGAGATTCCAGTCTCAGCAGGAAACAAGAACTTCTCCCAGAGATCAATCATTCAACAACCGGAAACCAACCGAATCCATAATGACATGTCTGGAAAGCAGTATCCATCCAGCCACACTTTTCAGCAGGTTCCTCGGGTACCACACGGAGTCGCTGAAAAACATATCCAGAATGAAAACACAGCAAAACATTTTCCTACCACCTCAACTAGCAGTGGGAGCCAAAATTTGCGTTCAACAAGCCATATTGGGGAAAAGCTTATCAACAGCAATGTACCCAGTAAACATTTTCCCAGTTCCAGCCATGTTGGTGAGAAGCATACTCCTAATGATATTCCAAGCAAGGCGTCTTTTCAGAAAGAATCCTTTTGTCATTCTCCAGTAACATCTTCACTGATAGGTGAGAAACATATCGCGAATGACATTCCTGGTAAGCATTTCCTTTCTGGTTCAGGCCTTCAGACTCCCCGTTTGACTCCAGTCAATGAGAATGCTGTACTGAATGATATGTACAGCAGCCCTCCACATCAGGCGTGTTATTTATCACCACCTCATGAAAACCGAATGAGTCAGCCAATGTCAGCAGGTTCCAGTTCCACCCCCAAAACACAGTTGCACCAGCAGGAAAATCAACCAGATCACTATCAACGAGAACATCAGTCTCCACTACCCACATCTAATAACAACAATAGCAACACAGTTCCCTTATCACATTCCAATACACCAACTCCAAAATCCTTTCACGGTGATGAAGAATTGCCCCAGCACCACTTTCGTGAACATATTGATCAACATTGTCAGAATTCACAGTTATCTGATGTCAGTAAAATGACCCCCAAACATAGGCAAGAGTACCATCCTCCACTTACCTCCCAACAACACAACCCACATCAATCAGTAGCATCTTCACAGCTGCGGCAGCTGTTCTGCAGCTACTGTGGCAAAGGGTTTGCAAAAGAATACCTCATGCAGATGCATAAACGGGTACACACTGGCGAAAAGCCATATGCATGTGAAATCTGTCAGAAACAGTTTGCCCGACGAGATACACTTCGAATTCACAAACGAACTCATACTGGAGAAAAGCGTTACCAATGTGATATTTGTCTTAAGAATTTTGCACAGAAAGATTACTTGCAAATTCATCGACGGATACACACAGGTGAGAAACCCTACCAGTGTGAGTTGTGCTCAAAACAGTTTTCACGTAGTGACACTCTAAAGGCACACCGTAAAGTTCATTCTAAACAATTGATCAATGAAACACGTCCACCACTGCCATCGCTACCAGGAAATATTCACCATCAGATGCAGAATAACTACCCTCAATGTGAGCAGGAAGAGCATTCAAGAGGACAGTTCTCACCATACCAACAACAACAACAACAAATGCAGATGCCTGTGCAACAAAGACCTATGTACCAGTGTGACATCTGCCTTCGAGCATTTGCCCAGAAGGACTACCTTAAAATACATAAACGAACACACACAGGAGAAAAACCCTACCAGTGTGATTTCTGCATTCAGAAGTTTGCTCGACGGGACACTCTGCAGATTCATCGACGTACCCATACAGGAGAGATGCCATATAAATGTGATACATGCGGACAACAGTTCACTAAACGCGAGAAACTTGCTTCACACAAGCGTACTCATGTCAATGCAGTCAATGGAGACAAACCAGGCAAAGGTAGCCGCAAACAACGCTACAGTTGTGATATATGTTGGAAAAAATTTGCTCAAAGAGATTACCTGCAGATACATCGCCGTGTTCACACAGGTGAACGTCCATTTGAGTGTGATCTCTGTGGCAAGAGATTTGCTCGGAAAAGTACGCTACAGATACATCGACGGATTCACACAGGAGAAAAACGGTTTCAATGTGAAGTCTGCAGGCAACGGTTTTACCAACGGGACAAGCTTCTTATCCACCAGAGGACCCACACTGGAGAAAAGCCATTCCAGTGTGACTTCTGCATCCAAAAATTTGCACGGCGTGAGACTTTGCAAATACATCGCCGCACCCAGCACACTTTCGAGAAGCCCTATGCATGTCCTATATGTGGGCTTCAGTTTATCAAGCGGGACAAGTTAATTGCCCATGAACGACAGTATCACACAAGTGTCACCAAGCATAAAGTCAAACGTTTTAGTTGCGACATATGTCATAAAATGTTTGCTCGGCGAGACACCCTCAAAATTCATTACCGCCGCCATTCAGGAGAAAAGCCCTACCAGTGTGAAGTCTGCTTGAAGCAATTTGCTCAAAAGGACTATCTTGTCATCCACAATCGAATCCACACAGGAGAAAAGCCATACCAGTGTGATTTGTGTCCCAAAAGGTTTTCACGTAGGGACACACTGACAATCCACAGAAGGACTCATACTGGTGAAAAGCCGTATAGTTGTGATATTTGCCTCGAACAGTTGTCTCAGAGAGATTCTTTGCGAGTACATCAACGTATCCATACAGGTGTTCGACCTTTTGCCTGCAACCTTTGTCCAAAACAGTTCACACAGAGAAATGCTTTGCAGGCCCATTTACGCACACATTCAGGGGAACGGCCCTACCAATGTGAAATATGTCAACGACAATTTACTCAGAAAGAATACCTCAATGTGCACCGCCGAGTACACACTGGTGAGCGGCCATTTGAGTGTGATTTTTGTGGGCAGAGATTTGCACGTCGCAACACACTTACAATACATAGACGTTCACATACGGGTGAGAAGCCCTACCGCTGTGATATCTGTTACAAGCAATTTGCACAAAGAGACTACCTCCGAATTCATGCCAGAATTCACACAGGTGAAAGGCCATACCACTGTGAAATGTGTCCCAAGCAGTTTTCTCGCCGTGATGCACTGAAACGTCACGAACATACACACGCTTTGAAAGGCCACCAGATACTTACAATGCCCCTCTCACAGTCAAAATCACACTCTTATCGTATTTCTCTACCATATCAGTCACAGCAGCCACTATTCCCACAAGCAAGCCTTGCCGAGAATAGTAACCATAGTGGAGACATGAACCAACTGCAGACAGCAGGGAGCCCAAGCTCAAATGCTCCAGCTATAACTGTTTCACCACAGCAAGTGCAGGCAAAGATTAACAGCCATAATGACAACATAAACGGTACAACAACAATTACTGACAATAGTAACAATAGAAATAGCAGCAACTATAACAACAATAATGATAATAGCAGCATTAAGGACAATGAAAATAGTAATGAAACCAATAAGAAAGAGGACACAACTACAACGCCATCTGTGACAACAGTAAATATAACATCTAGAAATACCACCACGGAGGATTTTCCTCCAGTGAGTAAATACCTCTCTTTGTAAATAAACTATATACATTTCACACAAAACAATAAAATATACACACATGCATATATATTATGTTGCGTCATAAGTAATTTCCTTTTGTGAGAACCAATTCTAATGAAAATGTATCATCCTAATTATTGCTAATCATATGTGGAATTTAAGAATAAAGGTTGACAACAATAACATACCATTTGTTTTACACAGTGGTGGCAGCATACACAGTGGGTTAAAGGAAAAATGTTTTTCTCCTCCCTAACAACACAATACTGCATACAAGATTTAACAGGAAAATATTTTGGAATATTTTGGTATTTGATTTGTTCTACCCCCCCCCCCAACATATTCACCTGACCTTGCACCAATAGTTTATTACCTTATTCAATCAGTGCAAAACATTTGAAACTAGATTGAAGAGTCCACCAAAAACTTTGTCATCTCCAAATTGACAGAATTTTACTCAAGATATTGAAAAGCTGTTTGATAAGTGGCAGCAGTTGATGGCAAATAATGGAGAATATATAATTGAATAAATAATTGTACTTTTATTTTTTGAAGAATAAAGTCAGTAAGCAAAAACAGAAATTAATTATGGCTCAACCTAATATATATATATATATATATATATATATATATATATATATATATATATAATGTCATCCACAGACAGACTGTTTCATAGCAAAATGGCTCATCAGTGTGGCTAGACATCCAGTTGCCTCTAGCTAGATTGAAACCCACTGAATTGGTGTCAGTCGGAGATTCTAACCATTAAGCCGTCGACGCATGGTAGGGATGAAAGTGGATTTTTAGCGTATTTATTTTTAGAAACACGACCAGTGACTGACAGTGAATCAATTCGCATCTGCGAAGAGTCTCGCTATATAGCTATAATAGTCACTGTTTACCAACCCACACCTCGTCCCCAGAGAGCTCAACTGAAATTGATATTTCAGGAGCCAATATAACGTCATCCACAGACAGACTGTTTCGCTGTTTCACAGCTCATCAGTATGTGTGTGTGTGTGTGTCTGTTATATAAATATATATATATATATATATATAACACATATATAAGCACAGATTTATGTATGTGTGTTTTCATATATGTCTATATATATATATATATATATATATATATATATATATATATATATATATATATATGTATTTAGCAGCAATGCTTCTTTCAGTATATATATAATGTATAGCTGAAAGCGCTTGGAAAAATAAAACATTCAGACAGTTTTTGTATAACTTATCTACTGACAAGAAAAATAAATTATAAGATCATATGAGAAATTATATTAAAAACTTATCAAAGCACCTTGTCTGTCATATTTAATGAAGCTTATATATATATATATATATATAAACATATATGTGTGTCTTTGTATGTATATATTCAAACATATTGTTAAATGTCACAGATAACAAATATCTATTATGTTTGATCATGAGTTGTTCTAAACTCCATATATTTGCTTTGATTTCAGGATTTAATTTGATGTCCATATAATCACTCTAAAGATAGCTCATATGAGCTGAAAGCTTAGATCATGGAACCGTATAATAAAAAATATCCAAATGTTGGGAAATTTTTGTTTTAATTTTCTCCCAAAATTAAAGCAAATATACAGAGTTTAGAACAGCTCATGATCAAACATAATAGATATTTGTTGTCTGTTATATTTAACAATATATGTTCGAATAATGATCTGCTGCCCCAATACACTAAACACACACACACACACACACACACACACATATATATATATATATATATATATAATTTTATTATATTGCACATATTGTGCTCGATGTAATATAACAGCTATTAAGTATATATTAATAAACATACATAGTATCCTTCACCAATAGCATAGTTTCATGTGACTGAAGATTGCATTATTCATGAAACTCTGAGTTGCATTATCGGTGTGGGATAATATATATATATATATATATATATATATATATATATATATGTGTGTGTGTGAAAATATATAGAAAATAGGAAGGAACTGGTTAGGTAAATAATCCAAAGTCCCTTAGTATTTTAGTTATTATTTTTAAAAAATAGTGGTCGATACAAAAGTAGAAACATAAATATAATTATTTATTTAAAAATATGATTCCAAATCGCGACATAAGAAGTCCCATGTTTTCAAAAAGAAGCAAGAGCGAAAACTTCAATATAATTATTTAAATTATTTCAATTAAATTGAGTTAAAATAAGCTCTGTTCCATCTTCAAGCAAAATTTTTTTTTTGAATAACGTGTTTCTGAAATTTACATGTTTTAAAAAAAAATTGGAAATCAAAATTTCCATGGTAACACCTAGGGCGAATTGTTTAAGTTGGGTAGGCGGGTGTTGGGTGTTAATAATAAGTATCAGTATAGAGTTACTTTCGTAGATGTCAAGTCAGTGAAAAACAAACATGGTGTCTAAATTTGAAACAGAAGATGTATTAACCCTCGTCTAGTTTGCATGTCTATGGAGATTTATTTATTTTTTATTTTTATTTTTTTATGAAAGGATTTGTGCATATAAAAAAAAACAAACAAAAACTGTCGTAACGTTTGTTTTTTGACGACTTCATAAAGGGTTATCTTTTTTTAGGGTATTTAAAGCTCAGGCCATAGGAAAAAAAACAGGAAAAGAAAAATCATTTGGTACACCCCTCCGTTCAACCAAATGGTTAATATTAAACTAGGACAAAAATTCTTAAACCTAATTGATAAACACTTCCCCACCAATAGTAAGCTTAGTAATATATTCAATAAGAACACCCTAAAATTGAGTTACAGCTGCTCTGAAAATCTTGAACGTATAATAAAAAAACACAATAATAAGATCTTGAACAAATCCCCATGCCTAAACAGTATTAATAAAAACCCTGCACTTAAATCAGACAATAAAAGGGAAAAATTATGTAACTGTAGAAAACTAGAAGACTGCCCATTAGAAAATAAATGCTGCATTAAATCGGTGGTATACCAATGTACTATATCATCCACTGAGAGCCCTAGCACTAATAAGATATACATTGGGTCCACGAAGAATGATTTTAAAGATAGATGGAGGCAGCATAAGTGTTCTTTCAATAATATAAACAAAAGAAATCAGACTTCCCTATCTAAATATTTTTGGCATTTGAAGGAAACAAATAGGACACCTAAAGTTAAATGGAAAATTATTAACAAGGCTAGAACATGTAAAACCTGGGATGACCCATGCCCTGCCTCCATGAGAAATTGCACATAATTAAGCTTCTAAATAATAATAATCTATTAAACAATAGACACGAGTTAACGGTTTTTTGTAGGCATCATCAGATTTTTGGTTTGAACTATTAGATAAAAACTAGCATACAATATAATAACTTGTTTAATCCATAGCCCACTCATCAGATTCATGATTTGAATAATTAACTAAAAACATACATACAATATAACACCCTTCATAATCCATAACCGAAATAAATAGTTTAAATACCCTAAAAAAAGATAACCCTTTATGAAGTCGTCAAAAAACAAACGTTACGACAGTTTTTGTTTGTTTTTTTTATATGCACAAATCCCTTTCATAAAAAAATAAAATAAAAATATAAATAAATCTCCATAAACATGCAAACTAAACAAGGGTTAATACATCTTCCGTTTCAAATTTAGACACCCCCACCTTTCACTGACTTGACATCTACGAAAGTAACTCTATACTGATACTTATTATTAACACCCAACACCCGCCTACCAAACTTAAACAATTCGCCCTAGCTGTTACCATGGAAATTTTGATTTCAATTTTTAAAACACGTAAATTTCAGAAACACGTTATTTCAAAAAAAATTTCGCTTGAAGATGGAACAGAGCTTATTTTAACTCAATTTAATTGAAATAATTTAAATAATTATATTGAAGTTTTCGGCTCTTGTTTTGAAACATGGGACTTCTTATGTCGACATTTGGAATCATATTTTTAAATAAATAATTATATATATATATATATATATATATATATATATATATATAGGATTAATGCAAATATAAAATTTGCCACTTGGCTGATTGATATCATATTCAGCATTCCAACTCCCGTGTGTGTGTGTGTATATATATATATATATATATATATATATATATATATATAGAGAGGGAGTCTCTGCTGCTTTGTAACACACAAAATAAGTTACTCTATGTTGAATAGAAAAGAGATTGACAAAGTCTTGCTGCTAGCAGAGAAATTAAGATGCAAGTTAAAAGTAATTAATGATGACGAATATCAACAACTGCAGTAGAGAAATTGACATTGTCAGTTTAATGATCTATTCACCTTTTTAAGAGAATATTCCACAAATAAGAAATGTGATATCCATTGTAATAAAGATAATGTTATGTCATCAGCTGGATTTTCTAGTGACACTCCAACAAACAGGTACATAATTGAAATCCCAAAGCTTAATAATATAATTCAGTTATAGGGGCAGAGATTGCTGGCCAAACTAGACATGGTCCTTTTTGTTTCAAAGT